CCCCAAAACCCCAAAACCCCACCATTGCAATCATCAATGATAATCATAATTTATGCAAATCTATTTGCTAGTTAGTTAAATTAAAGAAAATGTGATTATTACTTAATCTGATAGGCTCGGCTCAGTCTAATTTTCTACCGAAAATCAGAGTGAAATAGAAAAGCATGCAATAAATAGTCGCAATTATCATCATAAAATCACAAGTGAATACGTAACCATACATATCATTAATCACAGAGGCTACTATAGGAGCTATTAAATTTCCAAGATTAAACATGGAGTTAAATAGACTCGAAGACCTATCACTTATTTAATTTGAATAATATCTGTTTTTCTTTTCTAGCACTTCAATTAATTCTGACAATAGAGGGACCTAAGCTAACGAAAGACCGAATCCTAGTAAAGAAACACCAATACTCACCATCAAAAGAGACTAAGGCATTCCAAGAATTTAGCTAGGACCTTCTAAAAAGCTTTAAAATACCATGATGATCAATGCGATTAAAATAATATACCTCTTGTGAATGTATTTGGCTAGCCAAGAAGCCAATGGGGCACCAATTACATATAGGAATGATGCTGATAAAAAGAAGAGACCAACTAAATTTTGCTGAACCCCGTAGATTTTGTATAATTGAATTGCAAGAATGGCTTCGATGTAGAGAGTAAATACAACCGAAAAGCATGCGGTTAACAGTAGAATAAAGCTCTCAGAATCCTTAAAGGAATCAATGTATTTTAATTCAGAATATACTTTCCCTTCAGATTCTATTTACTTTAGACTTTGCTTCTCGGTCTCAGTAGTCTAATCATTATCTAATTGCGTAATTGTCTTATCAGCAGTCCTTTCATTTAAGGTATTAGGAATCCGAATCTTTGATAGTATAATGCCAACAAAGACTACCCCACTAAAGAATACAAATGTGCCTACATAGCCCACAAAATCATATAAGAAGCTCGCGATTGCTGGACCAAGAATAGCTCCAACTCCAACAGCCATTTCAACGTAACCAATATAGGTATCCTTATCATGATTCATCTCGAAGGTGCGAACGAGTAAGCACAAATCTAGATAGCTGCGCTGGCAGCCCCTTGATAAAACTCTGAAGATTAAGCTCAATACAAAAAATGCCATAGACTAAGTAGATCCTAGAAGATCTAAGGATGTAAATGCTAAAGTAGCAATAAAAAGTTGGATGCTTGAATAGATTATCAGGTTCTTACGCTTCACTCTGCCTATATACAATCCAAGAACTATGGACGCTATCAAGTTAGCTACTT